ATTTTTCATGGGCCTCCGGAGATACTAACACAAGTTTTCGAATTTATGAATGCCATCCACCCAACGATCAAATTTACTTTCAATAATTCTACCAATTCTATTAATTTCATGGATTTAACAATTAACAAAAAGCTAGATGGACAGTTAGAAACAACAATATACAAAAAGGCAACTGATACAACAGCACTATTGCATTATAATTCATTCTAACCCCCTCATCAAAAAAGCAATTTAAAATATAGCCAAGCGTTAAGATACAATAAGATTATATCCAACAATTACAACCTAATAAAAGGGCTAAAACAATTAGCACAAATTTTAGTTATACGAGGCTACCCTATTCAATCTATTAACAAAGGTTCTAAACAAGCACTGCGACATACACAACACGAACTTATCTACAACAAATATAAAGAAGAAAGAGAGAAATTTTACCGATGGTTACAACATTTGGAAAAGTTGGAAAACTCATAAATAAAATAGTTAAAAAGCACTGGAATATTGTTTAACAGAATACTGATCTTAAAAATATATGGCCAACTCCACCTATTGCGAGTTTCAAAAATATCAAATCGATGAAGAAATTTCTAATCCAGACGGCGCATAAAAAAACATAAATAAAAAATCTATTTTTTCTTTACTAAGTTACATTTCCTAAGAGTTACTATTTACATACTATTATTAGTTTACCTTATATCAATTTTCTAGTTTTATTTATAATTTACTAGTTTTTTAATAAAATTTTATCCTGCGTTTGTTATGGTCTCAAAGTTACATTGAAATCGGATCGTAGAGAAACCTTTACTTTTCAGATATTTCGATTTAGAAATGGTCTCAAAGTTACTTGTAAGACCGTAGAGGAAACTTTACTTTTCGGATATTTCGATTTAGAAATGGTCTCAAAGTTACTTGTAATTCGGACCGTAGAAAAAACTTTACTTTTTTACAATATCTTTTCCCGCTTCGTATATCGTTTTTATATCACGACTTATATCACTGTTATATCACCCAAAATAAATTTTTTAACCACTCATTTATTTTAAATTTATCTGGCTTTATTAGTATTTAGTTTTTCTTAATGCAATATTCATTAATATATTATTTATCTGCTGATTTTCATATTATTACTGTTTATTATGAATTTTTATGCTTTATTATCTTGCATTGATTACTCAACTTTATTTGAATTTTCATATGCACAATTTTCATCTTTTATTATTATTCAGAGGAATTTTTTATATCCTTCATTTAATGTCTACATTTATGCCGGTGACTTTATTAAGGTCTTTGTGCGACGATTTTTTCGCAACCACACATTGTTCTATCATTGTTATGATTCTAGGTTTCGCGGGTTTTTCATTTTCCTACACTTTTGATTGGTTATCACATTTCGAATGAGGTATCTATGACAGCGTTAGAGTTTATTTAAGGCTGTTGATTAAAAAAAATTTTTTAATGAGGTATTCTGATTTCTGTTTACCTTTGGGTTATTTATGCTTATAATACCTATCTGGTTTTAGATCTTAAATTGAATTTATTTATATTTTTATGTTTCGATTAGAATTTTAATTTATTGTGCTTTCATGTTTTCTTTCGGTGGTATAGTAAGTGATTTATTTAGTTATTTTTATTTATTTTTTACAGTTTATCTACACTTTTCATATCATATCATTAAAAAAACATTAGTGTTTTACAAATTTTGGGTTGGTGGGGTAATGGCTATTTATAGTGAGTCCTTTTTTACTGCAGTATGGATAAGGCGTAAGTCGCGGGGTAAAGCACAAGTGGCGATGACGTTTGTCTGACGGGATAAACTAGTTATAAGTGCTGATCCTCATCGAAACGCCTGTAATAATAGACGCGACTCTGAGGAGATGTTTATTACTTTATCACTACATTAATTATGTTTACACATTAGCATTAATGTTCTTTTTCCATTTTGAGGCCTTACATTGTTGTATCCATATTTTTTGTTTTTGTTTTTTTATTTTTTAAGTTTTTTGTTTATCAATTTTTTGTTTTTTTAAAAAAAAGTTTTTATTTTGGTTATATATTTGTTGTATATCTTCGTACGTACTAGTTTTTTATGATACAATTTTTTGTTATTATTATTGTGAGTACTGCTTGGATGTGTTGTCTGTCTTACTTGTTTTGAAATTTTCTTCTATTAATCTTTATTTTTGTCTTGACAACTGTCAAAATATGCTTCGTTCGATAGACAATTGTTCTTTATTCTAATGTACTTTATTTCTTCCCTCGGGTGTTTACTGCTCGTGTGTGACCATTCGGCGAATTTTATATGCCAAAGTTTTTAAATAAATACTAAACTTTGATCCAATTTAAAAATATTAAACTCCAATTTAAAAAGTTAAAGAATATCGTAAAAAAATTTACTACGTTATTTACCTCATTTAAAATACAATTTACTTAAATAATTTAACAAAACAAAAATTAAATGCTGCTTTATTTTAAATTAATTAATTCGATTTTGCAATTAAATTGTGGTCTACTTATAATAAGATAAAAAAAACGTCCTGCTAAGGTTAAATAATGGCAAGAAATAGGAGAATGTTGGCAGACATTCGTGTGCAGAGATGTTTGGAGTATTATAGAGCCTAATATTCAATGAAAATCTCCTTAAAAGGGAACCAATAAACTTCTACTTCTGGTTAGTATTTAAATTCTGAATGACGTCCTTTACGGACGACTTTTTTAATGAAAGCTTCCAAAATCGAAATTGTTACCATCTCCTTTAAACTTTTATTTATAATAATAATAAAAAGTAAATAGTCATGTCAATCTCGAAGATGAGTTTTTGGAACCAATCAAGGATTGATAACTCAGAATACTCCTTTTTTTTTCTTCAGCAATGTCTTTACTTTGTTAAGGCAAAAAGGAAACTGCTTTAGAATATGACTTTTAGACTTAGCCGTATCTTGTTGTGCAATAGGTATGCCATAAAGGTATGCCATCATAGCCGCTATGATGGCATAGCGGCTATGATGGCATACCGGTCATATTTACATAAAAATTGGTTTTGGTGAAAAAGTGATTAGACCTACATGAATATACTGGCTTTACATTAGACTTAGTGAAAATACGTTCCCTGTGCACAAATATTGTTTTTATAATCAACAAAGATTTTAAGTCGTGCTGTTGTAGTTTTATTCCCTTAATATATTTAAGTTTGTGATTTTATTATTAACTGTACAGAAAGAGAACTTTTATGCATTTTATATCCAAGTTTTGTGCATTTAGTGGAATAATTACTTTAATTTTTATCTTTTGAACCAGGCAGACACAGCTTGTTTTAATGAAAATAATGACTTCTTCCCATGATGGCATACTGACGAATTGGGTGTGTTGCAATATTGACGAGTTAGGAAAACCTTTTTTTTTTATAAGTAAAACTTATTTTTTAGATAAAGTAAAGTTTTTAAAATTTTGAAGTAAAGTAAAGTAAAGAAAGCGATGCTCCAAAATTATTTTTTTAATCTAAAAAATACATAAACGCAATATATCCTATGCGCATGCGCGAAACTCCTGCTGTGTAGCATGAAATGGTAAATTAGGATTAATTCGAGTAATTTCTGGCTTTTCTAAAGGAAAACTCTAAGGTTAAATGAAATCATAAAGTTACCCTTAATCCTAACCAGCCCCATACTCCCCTTTGCCATCATAGGAGCAGTGGTTGCTTATGATGGCATACATGTGCTTTTTTTAAAAAATAGGAATAACTTATAAAATAAACAAAACTGATGAAAACTCTGATGGTTATTATTGTTCTACATTTAACAAGGAATATACGATTACCAAAACTTTTATTATTGGCCTTCAGGGTACCGAACAATGAAGCTACAAAGTATATATAGCTATAATAAATTATTCTAATCATAAAGCTATAATAAAATATTATATCTAATATATAGTTATAAATATTATGCTAAATATATAGCTATAATAAATTTTTCTAACTATATAGCTATAATAAATTATTCTAATTATATAGCTATAGTTAAAATAATAATTGAAAAAAAGTTATGATTATGAGTAAGCAAAATATTCATTTACAGTGGCGTAATAAAATTTGAAAGATTTAGCAACTTTGCGCAAGATAAACATAATCAAAATTAAAATATAGTTAGTAAATAATAATAGTAAAAAGATAACCCTAAAAAATTAGTATTAACTAATGAATCTAAGGAAAAAAATTCGCTATCAGTTTTCTTTTCATTATAACTCCAGTAATAGAATTTTCTATTTTATTGCATATGTGTGTTTTTAATTCTATTCAGCATCGTCAAATGAACGGAACATATAACATAGATAAAGGGATGAAAAGAACATGATAAATAATAGATAAATGGATGAAAAATATAAATATTAAACAAATGGATTAATGAATACAATAAATAATACATAAATGAAACTTAAATAATAGATAAATGGATAAATGGAACATAACTAATAAATTAATAGATTAACATAATAAAAAAAAGATGAATGTAATTATAAAAAATAAAATTATTTTTCGGTGGTATTTAAGGTGCTCAAAGACATTTTTTTAGTCACAGAAAACAGGGAAGAGCATTTAACTAAATAGTTTACGCCATCTTTATCTTCTTACGCCATCTTTATCTTCTTACGCCATCTTTATCTTCTTACGCCATCTTTATCTTCTTTACCAATTTTGCTTAATTGCCCAGAACTGCACCACTGCTGCTATAAACTTATATATTTAAATATTAACTAGAAGGATCAATGGAAGATAAAAAACAAGAAATAAAAAATAAAAAAATTCTTTTAAACAATCTTAAATTGAATTAACACATAATTTTTCATAACGAATTTAAAACATATTACAAAAGTAATTTTTTGCAACTGAGCCATTTTAATACCATATTAAAAAAATTTCACTTAATATCAACTTTGCGATCATTTTTTTCCAACGACAATTGTTCTAATTTCTAAAAAAAATTTTTGGAATTATTTTTTTTTAGGTATATTTGCCGTATTTATTCCACAATTGGACCATTTTATGTCACTTGTTGGGTCTGTTAGTGGGGTCGCCGTTGGCTTAATTCTTCCACCTATTTTGCACACAATTTGTTATTGGAATCAAGGGTTAAGTAACATTAGCTTTGTAATTAATATAATGATTGTGATTTTTGGACTTTTTGTGTCGGTTGTCGGGACAGTATCCACAGTATATTCAATTATGCAAAGATATACCAATTTACCGCATTCTACAAAACCTATTGGAAAATTTTAATTTTGGCTTAATGAACAATTAAATTATGTGAAAAAAGAAAGTACAACAGTAATATTACAAATTGCTTTTCAAAATACCTCACTGTCATTTTAGTAACTTAGAATAAAAAACCTCTGTAACCTTTCGTAATAATATGGAACAAAAAATGTGCTTATGAAGATAATTAAATTTAAACTCATTAAAAAAAGGTGAAAAAATAAAATAGAAGAAAAGCAAAAAATGGAAAATAAAAATTAGAAAATTAACGAGAAATTGTGGAATTAAAATTAGCAAATATTTCAAAAATTGTATTTGTTTAAAAATTGTATGTAGGGGAAAGCGAGGCCAACATGACGAATGAGACAATATGGGTTTTCATATTACAACTCAACAAAAAAACTTAAGGTTGAGTAAAAACGAAACTGTATTTGAATCTTGTATTTTAAAACACCAATTTTTTTTTTAAATATTTTTAACGCAATTTTATACGCATAAGTTTACTTTTTGCGCTTAAAAAAAAAATCCTCAGTTTCGGTTTTTCATAGTGGATGATGACCTTCAAGTTTAACTTCTTTAGAAGTATTTTTTTGCGACTTGTGTTTATTTTTTGTTACTTTAGTTAGAGTTATTGGTAGTTTTTAAAATTTTATAAAATTGAAGGGAAAAATTGCATAATAAGTCATCTTGCCCCGGTCACGTGATAAGATGACAAATTTATGAGCTTTTTATTTTAACATTTATTTCAAATTTTTATATTTGCAAACTGAAAATTCATGCAGGTAAAGAGTCATTTTAATAACATAAGCATAATGAGAATGTCTTATTGCTTCACGACTAATAGTCTTGCAATAACTCAGGGCTTTCAAAACGTTCGCCATGTTTGCCCCACTTTCCCCTATTTGTAAAATTTACTGCATGTATTTGTAAATCGTGCTGTATATATTTGAAAGTTGTTCTGTATATATTTGGAAGTTGTAGACTTATTGTCAATTGTACTGTATGCATTTTTACAATTTACTGTATTTGTAAGTTTTTGGAGATCGCAATCACTAACTTATATTTATTACCTTAATTGTATTAATTTATTGATTTAGATTTTATTTATTAAATTGGATTTTTTTAATTTTATTATTTATAAGTGCTCTATAAATCTTTAATTTATTTACTAAGTTAAGAAAATATTTGTTATTTTAGGATGACAACCTAATGTTGTTTTAAAAAAGCGTTCTACATAATTAATCGTATAAATTATATATGTTTATATTATAAACAAGTAAAATTAATAAAATTAGGTTAATGTAAAAATATAGAGTAATATGAACATATTACTATATATTTGAGAGTTACTATGAGCATATAAGGTGGTCATGAAACATATAAAATGGTTGTCATGTAAACATATAAGGTGGGTGTAATGCAAACTTATAGAATGATGAATCTTGTAAGTCTTTACTAAATGATTCTTAAGAAACTTGTAAAACATTAAAAAAAATTTTTTATCTAAAAACAAAAAGTATAATACTTTTTTATTATTTTTTAAATGTAAGCTTTATGTAACTATTACTAATAACAGAACAAAGTACAAAGTTGTATATATATATATATATATATATATATATATATATATATATATATATATATATATATATATATATATATATATATATATATATATATATATATATATATATATATATATACATATATATATATATATATATATATATATATATATATATATATATATATATATATATATATATATATATATATATATATATATATATATATATATATATATACGTCAGGCGTTCCTTCATATATATATATATATATATATATATATATATATATATATATATATATATATATATATATATATATATAGAGACGTCAGGCGTTCCTTCGACAAGAATGGAATAGTAAACTGCCATATGCGCCTCTTTAATGATGGCACCCTGAAGAATTCTTCCGCACTCTTTTTTAAATTCATTTTAAGAACTTTAACCAAAATAATGGGAAACAATTTATTTACATTCTTATTGGCAGCAAGAAACCTTTTTCTAGATGTAACTGAAGGGTCTTGTTGTGCTTTGCAAGTAGATCTAGTGTTACAAGAAAATTGCCCTTATCATCATCACCGATCATTTTTGATGAACCTAAAACAACGATTTTAATAACACATATGAATCATGATTTTTTGTTTAATTATAGTAAAAATAAATTATAAAATAAATATAAATATAATAGTTAAAGTTGACAAATATACCTCTGAAATTAAGATTCCGTGATGCTAAGAAGAGAATCACATCTAAGATGCACTTTCATCGGTGTGAAATTCGATCTTTCAGATTAAATTTCACGCCGCATTGGTGCATCATTTCTTATCAATTTTTCTAAATTTGAATCAATCCCACACTAGTTTCCCAAGCTTTCCAGCGCTATTTTCCACTTAATGTAATAATAATGTTTTGGCGGCTTTTTACTTTGTCAGCTAGGTTTCTCCAGTTTTCACTGATGTGACCATTCCAACTTAGAAGATGTGAATGAGAACCAGCCCTGCAGCTCAATTGTTAAGTCAACAATACATTTCAAACTTATATTTTAAAATTAGGAATTTAAAGAGTTTTTCATTGGAGCATTGTGTAATTATAAATAAAAAAAAACTGTTTCATTTGTGCGCCTCTTCTGATCCTGCGCCCAGGTAAAATATACCCAGTGATCCCCCCACGCGGCGGCCCTATATATGTATATATATATATATATATATATATATATATATATATATATATATATATATATATATATATATATATATATATATATATATATATATATATGCGTGAAATTTCCAATTCTTTTGAAAAATCTCAATTTACATTAAGAATTTTTATCGATCTTTCGAAAGCATTTGATACTGTCGATCATGATATTTTGCTTTATAAACTTAGTTGTTACGGAATAAATGAAAGAGCAATTAAATGGTTTCAAAGTTATTTATCGAACAGAAAACAATTTGCTTCTTGTAAAGAACTTAATCATAAACAGTTTTTTAATGTTTCCTGTGGTGTTCCACAAGGTTTCATCTTAGGCCCTCTTATGTTTCTAATGTATACCAACGACTTGCATAAAGCATCAAATCTTCTAAGTATTATGTTTGCTGATGACACAAACTTATTTCTCTCTAATAGTGACATCTATCTCCTTTTCTCCATTATAAACACAGAAATTCAAAACATATCTCAATGGTTTAAAAGTAACAAATTAACATTAAATTTAACCAAAACAAAATGGATTTTTTTCCGTCCGCTCTTTAAAAAACGTTTTCTACCTCCAAATCTACGTAAAATTTTTATTGATCATATTGAAATTAAAAGAGATTCTGTAACTAAATACCTGGGGTTTTTCATTGACGATAACATCACATGGAAACATCATATTAACTATGTTTGCTCAAAAGTTTCAAAAAGTATCGGAATTTTATACAAGGTGTGTACTCATTTAGATAAAAATAATTTAACTAAACTTTATTACTCTTTCATCCACAGTTATATGGAGTTATTTCCTCGGGTAGCACTGATCAAACCAAGTTACAATGTCTCTATCGCCGTCAGAAACATGCGATCCGTTTAATTAATTCTGCGGATTGGTTCGCACATTCCTCAATATTTTTTAATCAAATGAAAATCCTAGATATATATAAACTAAACGTGTATAAAAAGTTATCTTTTGTCTATATGTTGAAGCATGATTTATCTCCTTTAATCTTTAAAGATCTTTTTATTTTGAAACCATTAAGCAAGTTTAACATGAGGAATAATAATTATTTAAATGAACTATTCTGTCGAACAAAATTCAATCAATTTTGTATCACTTATCGTGCAGCTCATCTCTGGAACAAAATTATTTTGCCTAACTTTGACTTACCCCTAACTTATCCTGTTTTTAAAAATAAATTAATAGACTACATTCTTTCTATTAAAAATATCTTAGAATAGTTTTAATTTATGTTGTGATAAAAAAAAAATAATAATTTATTTTTATTGTCATGTATGTTCAAGTTTTGTTTTATACTTGTTTACAATTTATTTTCATTTATGTAAATACGATTTATTGTTTTTATATGATTTTTTACGTACTTTTATGGTAAAAAGGCGTTTTCATAATATGTTATGTACTCTCTTTTTTAAAAGGCTTCTGACGATAAGATCATTGTGATCTTCTTTTAGAAGCCTTTTTTGTATTTGAAAAATATGTAATTTATATATATTACGTCAAATGTAAAAAAATATATATATATATTTACGACTCCACACCCCTGTTTTTAATTTCTAATAGTGTTAAAAAGTTTAACATAAATAAGAAAAATATAAAATTTAATAGTGATCGGATCGTGTCTTGAGGTGCCGCAATTAGGGTAATGTTTAAATGAATTTGAAATTTTTTTCAGCTATATTTTTAAATGACAAAATAAGCTAGTATTGTGTTTAGTAAGCTAGTACTAGAAGTACTGTGTTTTCATGAGTTTGAGTTTGAAACAAGAGCGAACACAATAATGTCAGGTGTTAATGTGGATTGGAGGGAGATCTAGCGGGAGAAGAGTTTAATGGTGAGAGAAAAGAGAAGCAGAGATAGATTTCATGTCAGGACAAGAATTAGTTCTAGAATGCAGTTTAATGAATTCAGAGTCGATTTTAGTGAAATAGAATCGTTTGAGTTTATGTAACATTGTTAATACAATTGTGTAACAAATGGCCCTTTTAAAACAAGTCAAGACTAGACAAATTGTGGATTGTACTATATTTGTAAGTTTTAATGATTTCAGAGCAGTAGTGTTGCCAACATGTGAAGATGTAATGCAATGACATTTTCTTAAAAGAAATAACCTCAAACCAGATACATCATCTAAGGAGCCAACTGTAAGTGAAGTATCTGATATTCCAGCTCTGAAAATTGAAAATATATAGTTAAAAATTTTTACTTCTGTAGTTTCTAATACCCAATTATTACAAATGATACAAGCGTATCGTGACAAGTATAGAAATTTGTTAAGATCTATGAGCAGAAAAGGATCGGAAAAACATACCTCCAACCTTGTTGCATTTAAATAACATGCTAAATGCATATTTGATATTGCTGCTTGTAAATATTTTGACATTCAACAATGAAGTTTTACAAAAGAAAGGAAAGTCCTTTTTCTAGAGCAGGAGTTTTTATATAATCAACTATCGTCGAGAAAAATGGTTATGAGTAACGTTGATAGAGCTACAACAAACGCTTTGTTATTAGAAGATGCCAGAAAACTTAAAGAAATGCACAGAAAGTTTAAATCTATTCAAGAATATTCAATAAATACCTCAATGTTATAAACGTTTACTGATAGTGAAGATGGCATTGAAAAACAAGAAAAAGTAACAGAAAACTTTATTGTTAGTAAAAAAGAACAAGAAGAGAGAAATTTAGCAGGTCCTTCAGCACTACAAGAAGATAAAAAAATTACTCAAATGTGCATTAAACTGCCATCAGTTGCCTTTATTTGTGATTGTACAGGAATATCCGATAAAGCTGATGCAGCAATAGCAAGCACTGCATTGCAGGACTTGGGTTTAACATAAACC